CAGAATTCTGGCTTTTTTCCCACATTAAACGGAACTTTAATCTCAGAATTCAGACTTTTTTTTCCCAGAATTCTGGCTTTTTTCCCACATTAAACGGCAATCAAATTTAGAAATCAGCTAACTTATTTTATTTTTTCAGTGGCTCTAATCTGTACGTTTCCTTTTTATTGCCCTTTTAGGAACACAGGAACAAACCTGGAGGAGCGTGCTCCACACGCGCACGCGCGCTCTCGCGGATCAATCACGGCCTTGTTTGTTGCAGCTGCTCGAGGCTTTTACCTCCACCCTGACCAGTCATTCACGCTCCTCCTCCGGCGGACCGTCCTCATGGCAACGCACACACGGAGGAGAGCAGCTTAGCAACGCAGAGAGGCAGAGCATCCCCGCAGGTCCAGACTGCGCGGTGCCACTGATATCAGAGGCAGGAAGGAACGCAGCGGCGCTTCTGGGAAACTACCTTCAAGCTTTTACATTATAGTAAGATTCTTTTCTCCTAAATTACATTTTATTAAAAGGTGTTAGACAGATTAAAGCTCTCCGTTTATTGTGTACCGTAGTTGCGGAATGATGCTGCATGTTTGTAAACGCTTGGATGTGATGTGTTTTTCCAGGCAGGATGAAGTTTATGATCGTGCTGGTGGGAGCGGGCTCTCTAGCCTTTCTCGGCGCTGTCATCTGCATTATCGCCAGTGTTTACTCCCAAAAACGCGGCGTGACCTCCGGCGACAATGCCACCATGACTTCGGAGGCGCTGATCCAGCCTCTGGAGCCCGGATCGGTGGCTCATGCGGGACCGCTGGGCGCGCTGCACGGACCGGGCTCCTTCGACGGAGACAACGGGCTGGGCGGGATGGATCTGGAGGTCCCCACGCTGAACGAGCTGAACCTCGGGAAGGATAGCGGAGGTGGGTCGGGGAAGCAGTACAGCTTCAGCCGGTTGGTTTGCACTCCTCTACCTGTTGGAGACTGTAAGAGCAAAGATGTGAGGCAGAGCAGGGAGCAGCAGCAGGATGAGCCGCTCTACGGGAACGGAGAGGAGGACCTCCGGATGACAGCGGAGAACCTCCGGCAGATGGTTTTACAGCAGAACGATCAGATCCTCATGGACCAGAGAACCATCCGAGAACTGACGGGGAAGCTGAGCGAGTGTGAAAGTGGCCTGGAGGACGAGAGAACCACGCCGGCGCGGAGTGTCGGGGTGTGGAGCGGTGGCCGCCGCATCATGGCCGGAGACGATGTGAGCTCCTCCGCAGCGGCGCAGCTGCAGACGGCCCGGGCAGTGGAGGAGCTGGCCAGGGCCATCATGGACCTGAAGGACCGGATAGAAAAACTAGAGGTAGGACTGAGTTTGACTAGAGAAAAGTACGTTCATTTAACCATTTATAGGGCAAATTACCGTTTTCGATCACCCTTACAAATGGAGTCCCCCAGGGGCGGCGCTAGATGGGGGACCATGGCCACCCTTAGCCAATCTGTGGCCACCTCTACCATTTATTTCCTTCTTATACAGATGTTGGCAATATTAATAATCTCAAGTGGAATATTCACAACATTTTAATTTTTCATATATTAACAATTACTTGACAACAAAAACACTGTGGTTAATTATGTATATAAATACACTAACATTAAAAATGATAAGTACAGAATTCAAGCAGAAATAGATTTTGTGTTTTATGGGGTAAAGAGAAATTGATGTGTCTCTGCAAGTCAACCAGAAGTGTTAAGTCAAATCATGGATGAATAACTATTTTAATAAAAACTTATTAAATAATCAATTTATGTAAATATTAGTACTTGTAAATATCAATGTTATGCAGAATGATTACTGATAAAAGTAGGTAAGAAATGATAATGGAAAAGATGTTTGCCCCAAAACCCAAACCTGAAAGAATTTTATCCACTATACCTTTTATCTAGAAAGCACGGATGTTTAAATATATTCATCTATTTGTTAGCAAAGGCTGTAGGAAAGTATAGTTTGTCTTTATTTAGAAAATATGGATGTTTTGCTCGTTAATTTTCCTGTTGGAACAGTTTAGATTGACCCTGAGGTTTTGGTGCCACCCATCAGTGTACGCTGGTTATTGTTAATTTCTGGCTACGCATCTGGAGTCTGGCTGTACATCTTATTTGGCCATTTGACCAATTAGATGTGCCTTCGAATGATATATTACCTACTGTAAATTAATTTGAAAAAAAAAGTTAACAAGTAAAACAAAAAAAAGGTAAAAAGCTAATTGAACAGTTAAAAAGTTAATAAGCAACAATTATATTTAGATTTATAAATTAAAAAATGTAAGTGCAAGTATCAGCATAAATGTCTCCAAGGTTATGTTTTACCAAAAATACAAAAAAAAAACCACGTTTCTTTCACTCTCAGAGTGTTTTTCATTAATTTCTTATAGAAGCACTTTGGTTATTTTTCTTAATTTATTCGGGCAAGTTGGCGTTTCTTATTACATTGACATGAATTTCTGCCATCAAAATATCCATATTTTTTTAATGTTACACTGTAAAAAATTCAAATCCAAGTAAGTATTTCTTTCTTAAAGTAACTGCATTTTTTATTCAATTGAGGGGGTAAGTGAGACATTTTGCTAAAGAAACAAGACAATTTACATTTAAAATAAGAAAAAAAACAGTTGTGTTGTCTTATTACAAGTGCATTTTATCTAATGATCTTATTCTAATAGTAAAACTACTCATTCCATTTGCAAATCATCTTATTTACATACTCAAATTAAATGTAAATATGCTCAATTTAAGAACTTTTTACTTATTTCTAGATTGTTTTTTGCAATGTACAAAGGTAATAAGGTCTTGTCCTGGATTCCAATAACACTATTGGCTTGAAATGTAATAGTATTTTACTAAGTGCCCTATAAGCAGTTAACATTGACTAAACTTTTTGTTATTGGTTGTAATTACAGAGGCCTCACTTAGTTTTAGAGGAGAATAAATAACAAAGAGTATTTATTTTGGTGACCCGACATTCAGAGAAAGTAGAATCAACTTGAAACCTGTAATGACCATGATTTGAATTAAAGGCCGTCTTATTTTCATTGTTAAATAAAAAAAGTGTTTTTTAAAATGTTTTGATATCATAACGGTTTAAACCCAAACTGTTTTTCAGATTTTGAAGTGACAGTTTCTCTGTCATATTTAGGGAGATGCAATTTAGCACAATGATATTGAAATAAATAAATGCTTCAAATCCGTGAAGCCTTTAATTTTTGTATGACATTCACATAGAATTTGTTAGAACGTAGGAGTGAGTTTAACGATCCCTGTAACTCGATTATGTCACAGTCTTAAATGAGCCACACCTCCATACATGATACAACATTTAAGGGAACTAGCTTTACACACATCAATGACTCTTTAAAAAAACTTTTTTTCTTTTTTGTAGTTTTTTTAGCCTAATTTTCTGATTATAAAACACATAATGTAAAAATGTTATTTTTACCGGACTCTGGGCCTCCATAAAATGATAAGCATAAAACTGCAATAAAGTGGACTAATTTATTCCTAATTGGTTGCAAATTCCTTAGCGTACACTTTGTAATCTGTGAGATATTAACATGTTGCCATATGAACACGTTTATGAACAACAAGCAAAAAAACTACATTTAAAACATTTAAAAATTGTCGGAAATGCATTAGCAGCTGGACTAATAAAATCTTTTCCGACGTGTTTGTGTGAAGCCAGTATAATGTATTTTTTCATAAATCTATCATTTTGTTACTAACACTATTTTCCAAACCCTTAAAACAACTTCAAAGCTCTTCAACAACAAATAGAAGATATCTGTATTTTTTCTTGGGCGCCCCCTGCTGGCCTGAATGTCCTAAGCAGCTTCTTTGCTTTTTGCGTGGGAGACTGCGGGAACTGGTTTGATCAATTATGATAAATTAATCAGATCAAACATTTTTTAAACCCAGGAAACACATTAGAATATCCCACTAGTTTCCTTCCTGTATTGTTTTCTATTTTATGCTTTGTTGCACAAGCTGCATCTATAGTCCTCCCCTCTCCTGCGCTCTGAAAACCAACTCTTGACACAAATGCCCATCATGCCTTTGTTCACGTTCCCACAGACTCATGGGAAATCTATACTTTCACCTATACTGGTCCTCACACCCCAGTGTGCCCCACCTCCCATTATTTCAGCTGCCTCCTCAGCATCCAACAGCAGGACAGTGGGATGAATAAAACATGAAGATAGCCGGACAGGAAAAAAAAGGCTGCCGCTGGTGGTTTGGGGCCTAGGGACTGAGTACGTGCATCAGGTTTGTGTGAATGTGCTGAGACTGACAGACACTGTTATCCACACACACACACACACACACAGGTCCTGCTGCATTACAGCCAGCCCCCAGAAAGCTCAGTCACAAGGTTGTCTCCATCAGTGTGAATTTATATCCTTGATGTCAAGATACAGCGCTACCTCAGCAGCTGTCTTGATATTATATATATCGCCCTCGCAAATTTTTCATCCAGTCTAACAGCTTTGCCTCCTTTTACGCAGCCTCACCAACACCTTATTTAACTTCTGCTTTGCATCTAAATAGCAGATGGGGTGATTATCAGCACAGCAGGGTTAGGGTTTAGGAAGTTGTTCTCTCTCTTTAACATGGCATCTGGTCTAAACCGCAAAGAGGAAAAATGACAGATGCATCTAGAATATGACGTGCATGATTTAGTCTTAATAAAGGCTATTTATGCTGAGGTTTAATCTCAAGTTTAAACCTTTAAGGTGTTTAGATACGGATCAAATCAAATAAATGACTGGGCTTAATTAAAATCTTTTAGAAGTACATTACAAACCTCAGATAAATCTTTGTACACACATCTGTTTTAAAGAAGTGCAGTCTAAGCAATGTCCCGACTGCTTTAGACAATATTTGGAATGATTGCTTTATGCATCTTATGGTTATAATCTGCAACAAATTTCAAAATGCATTTGACGTGTGACCAGGAACACATAAAACCTCTGCTATTATCACTGCAACTAACTAAATATTTAGCCATATGTCTTTAACTTGTTTACTTTGACACAGTACTGGCTGCATCATGCTATGGGGTGTTGTCTTTATTTTGCTGGGATTGGGTTTTTGCTGAATGGAATGGTTTAGATCATGCATGCAGTATAGAGTAGCAAAAAGATGATTGGTTCAATGCTTCCCTATATAATTAGTGGAAATTGTTGTGGAGATTATTAATTCACCAAATTTACTTTTAAATCCCTTGAGGTAGGATCTTCTGGAGGTTTCTTCTTGTTAAAGGGGAGTTTTGCCCTCCATTGTTGCTAAATGCATGCTCTGTGTGAGTGATGGCAGCAAAATCAAAGGCACAATGCAGGTGACTGATTGTCCACTATCACCTTATGCATTACATTGCATTCATACAATCTAAAAATCAATGGCTGGATGTCATCAGCTGGGTTTCCGCAGATATAAAACTTTTAACAAATCAATGTGAATTATTTTAATAAAACGACTGTAAAGCTGACGTGTTGGGAATTGGTGTTATCTAATAAACCTGAACTGAATGTCCTCCGCCCAACACCACGATGTTATACTCATGAATAATCATTAGCGTCTGACTTTTGCCAACTGAAATCATATCAGCTCACATTTCTATATTAACTCATTTTTAAAACATAGTCAAACCGAACAGCCATGAACCAGATTTAACATTTAGATACGGATAAGCAAAGATGTTCAAAACAGTTCAGTTTGTTTGTTGTTTGTCAGTTATTACATGCAAGTTTATTTATATATTTTTTTGTTTATTTTTCCACTAGAGCAGATGAGAAATCCTTTTCTGTTCCTGCATACAGTATATCTGTGGCAAAACTGTTTTTGCTTCTTTGGTTGGTAGCACATTCTTTGTTATGCTGTTACGTTTTTTTTCTCTCTGCACTGCTGCTGCTAATGTCTTTTAATTCCATCCTGCAGGCTGAGATCGGCCCCGGAGCCTTAAACCTCACAGATACATCTGTTGGTGTAAGCAGCACCAGTAGCAGCAGCAGCAGCAGCAGCCAGACTGGGAATACTGGCAAGACTCCATCACCGTCCACTAGTGGCGCTCCCTCAACAACAGCAGGGGCTGCCTCAGGGGGGCGTCGTCCTGCTTCCCTACCCTCCCCTGGCTCCAGGCCTCCTTCTTCCAAGGGTTCCCCTGGCCGGGGAAAGAGCACCTGGAGGGTGGAGGACCTGGAAGGGGAACTGGAGAGAAAGATAAAGATGCTGGAGAAGGAGCGACAAGCCATGAGGAAGGAGACGCACGGCCAACATGAGAAGATCAACAAGGGCATTGACAGTGTCAACCACCGCATCACAGAGCTGGAGCACAGTGAGTCTGTGGGAGTAAACTGATACACATGAGGACGCAGATAACTGCATCAGGATGCTGACATGAAAGCAATGAGACAGAGAGAGAGAGAGGTCTGAAATGAAAGTTTAACAAGCACCGCGGGTGAACTGGGTCATCACAGCAGCGGAAAATACACTGATGATGAAAATATGACAGATAATGAGTGCAGAGGGTTATAAAATGTCAGGCAGGGACTGAGGGGGGTGCTAATAATTCAGCTAAAAATAGATTGAATGAAATGTAACACAATTTCTTCATTTAAATCCCCTGAAGTCAATGACAAAAACAAAAGGGAATTTAAAAGACACCATGAATTAAATATTAATTTTGTTTAGGTTCAACAAAGGGTTTGAATGAAATAATTTTTTTTTCATTTGCATATTTATCCAAACACTTACTTAGAATGAGACAGGAGCTGATTTTCAGTACTAAGGTGTAAAAAGGTTTTACATGCAAGGATAAAATTGGAGAAGTAAGAATAACATTTGCTCTGTTTTGCTAAGTCCCTAAAAATCATGTTTGGCATAAATTTCAAATGAAGTAAAGGAAAAGTAGAATGGAGGGAAAAAATGAACAGGGAAGAGGGGAAATGAGAAAGAGAGTGCAAAGACACAACGATGGAGGATAGAGATAATAAGCGACAGACAGAATGGAAGAAGGATGCTAGGAGGCAAATAAGAATGGGAGGAAGGGAAAAAAACGAAGGAAGTTAGAAATTATACAAAGCAGGAATGACACGACTTTTAAAGATGGAACATGGAGAAAAGCCTGGATTGTTTTTTTGCTCTCTAATTTTTCCCCATACTGATCCAGACCTGGATAAAAAAATCAAATCAAATGTTAAATTTCTCTGACCTCCAAGACAGAGAAAAAAAATCTAAAACTTCACTACTGTGTTATATATCCTCTGAAATAATTTAAGTAACAAGAGTGTCTAATTTCCCCTCAAATTAAATAGAAAAAAAAAATCATTGAAAATAATTGCATCAAACAGGTTTTAATGTTTTAATGAAATAAACTCCTGTCAGCCAGTCTTCTTTGGTGCATCCTGCTGACTGACGATCTCTCTTCATTTCCCTGATCCAAAGCACTGACAGAGCCTCCGTTCCCTGACGGCTTTGTCCTCTCCTTTCCCATGAGGACCAACTACATGTACGGCCTGGTGAGAAAAGAGATAACTGAGATGTACGCCTTCACTGCCTGCATGTGGCTCAAAGCCAAAGAGGGAGGCATCGGAACCCCCTTCTCCTACTCTGTGCTGGGACAGCCTAATGAGCTGGTGCTGCTGCAGGGAGTCCACAATCCTGCAGAGCTGCTCATAAATGACAAGGTAGAGGGGTTTTCTCATACCTATCGGGGCTAAATGTTGCTCGCATCTCTCAGAATGAGCCTACAAATTACTTGCTATATACCCATTGGGCTGAAGTTGAACAAAATAAAGTTAAAGAAAGAAAACAGAAAAAAGTTATCTATCTATTTACAGAAATAACTTGAGGTTTCTTGTTAAAAGTCTGGGCTAAAGCAAGAAGAAATCAATAGTGCAGAAATGGCTGAGTAGCGCTGGCTTATTTTGATTTAAACAAGACAAAAACGGATTCCAGAAAGGTGAATAACCTCAGAAAAAAATAAAAATACTAAAACCATTCAGAGGAGAAAGGTAAAAAAAAGTAATCTATTATTGTTTTCAGAGGTAGGAGGTAACGCAGCCCTCAGGGACATTTTTTGGATGGAAAGATGTTCACCAGTGCTTAATTGCTACTGAAAAGCCTCAAAGCATGGCATGCATAAATTTTCATTTGGTTGTTTGTGTTAAATATTATTGAATGAAATTCAGTTTAGTCAATTTCCTACAGAAGATACCCTGTTAGTGAGTATGTCCACCTATATGTAATATAATGTCAGTACAAATGCTCACCATTAGTGAACAAACAGCATCATGACAGGTCAGGGTAAGGTATTCAGCAGGAGGGGTGAATGAAAGGCCACAAAAGACTCAAAACTTAAAAGAAGTTTAAAATAGGAGCAAAACAGTGTCTTTACAGTTCAGCATCCAGTCATAATGCAGGTAAACTTAACCTCAGGAGCTTATCACAACCTTTATGTGTGTATTCTTTTACCCTCAGGTGGCGCAGCTTCCTCTGTCTCTACCCCAGGATGAGTGGCAGCACATCTGCGTCAGCTGGACTCTGAGGGATGGAGTGTGGAAGGCCTACCAGGGGGGGAAGATGAAGGGAAGAGGAGAGGGACTAGCTGCATGGCATCCTATCAAACCTGGAGGAGTCCTTATACTGGGACAGGAACAGGTGGGATGGATGGATGGATGGATGGATGGATGGAT